CCTTGGGCCAGGCTTACCATCCTCTGTGTCCCGAAGGCCCCACTCTTGTACCTCAGAACAGGTGTTAGGGAGTGTTAGCTGTCACAGACAAATTAGGAAACACAGAATTGCTTGTGCTTTGAGCAACTCTGACTTTTGACAGTCAGTCACCAGCATCACTCAGGGACTTAGATGTGGAAGCTGGGGTATACTCCTAACCTAGTAACTAAGTACCTGAGGAATGCAGCCCAGCCCGCAGAGTTGCAATAAACCCGCCAGGTATGAGGGGCACCGTTATGGCAACAGGCACTCTGAGGAGTCGACACCTGCTAGGGGCTAGGAACACTGAGCAGCAAACACAAGCTCTGCCTCTGACTTGCTGTGTGTGCTGAGTGAAGTCAGCCAACCTCTCTGACTTTGGTTTCCTTGTCTGTAAGATCATCATATGTAGTGAGATGGTATTTTTCTGCATGTATGCATACAAGCATTTTTGAGACACAATCTCACTCTAAAGCTACATTGACCTCAAGTTCACAGCAGTGTTCCTGCCTCAGCCTGTTAAGTACTGGGATTGTAGGTGTGTGCTGCCACACCTGGCCTGTGAGATGGTTTACATGGTCATTTTCAGGGAGAGATGCTCAGCACAAGTCCTGGCATGTAAAGGATAAATGTCACCCCAGGCTGGCTGGAAGTAGGGAGCTGAGAAGTGCCTTGACCACTGAGGGTCTAGAAACTCAGTTCTTTTAGCCTGCTGTGACCCAACCCCCACGGACCGGACAGCTTATACCCAGCAGAAATCCATTTACCTTTTTTTCTTTTTCTCCACAGAAATTTATTTTTCATAGTTCTGTAGGCTAGGAAGTCTAAAATCAAACAGCTGACAGATTTGGCATCTGGTGAGGGGCTTCCTAGATGACCTCCCAAGTGGGATAGACAGGAATCCTTAGGACCCCTTTATAAGGGTGCACATCCCATTCCTAAGGGGTCCCTTCTTTACAACCCAATCACCTCCCCCAATATCCTCTTCTACAATGGCATCACTTTGGGAGTGAGGATGCTAACAAGCATCACAGGCACATTTATCCTGGCTGGGAATGAGCCTGGTACTTCAGCTGCAGACTGGATCAGACTGGCTGGGTCCAGCCTGCTGGGTGTTATAGAGCCACCTCCATCCTGGCCCTGGTTTTCCACCATGGGGAAATTTGGGGCTGCCTCTATCTTGGCCCCAGAGCCCTTCTGCCTGTCCCTACCATAGGGACCACACAGATCAGACTCAGGGCCAAGTGTCTGGGAAATGGATGGAGAGGATGTAGATCTACCTTGTTTTAGAGAAGGCTCAGAGCAGGTGGGCCTGTGCCGGGAACAAAGGGGAGTGTGCTTGGTCCATGAAAAGAAGTGAGGGGGAGGCAGCTCACAGAGCACGTGTAACCCAGGGAGCCTGCGTGACAGGGTCTAACTTCCAGACACCCCCCAGTTACCCTGACACCCCTCCACACACTTACTGTGCTGTAAATGAAGCTTAGATGCTGCCAGGGCCAAGGCCCTGTCTGCAGTCTAGCCGGACCCCACCTCTGCATGGGGGAAGGGGTCAGGACTCTATATAGACACTTTGCACTAGGCTGACACCCCTCCACACACTTACTGTGCTGTAAATGAAGCTTAGATGCTGCTAGGGCCAAGGCCCTGTCTGCAGTCTAGCCGGACCCCACCTCTGCATGGGGGGAGGGGTCAGGACTCTATATAGACACTTTGCACTAGAATGGGGAGTCTCTGCCTCTTCCGATACCTGGAGACTTCCAGAAGCAACACACACACAACCAGAGACACCTCTATCCTTGTGTGAGGCCGACTCAGATCCTTCTTAGGGACAAACAGATTCTATTTCTTGTTTGTCTGGGCCTGTGGAGTCTAGCACACGGTAGATAGGTCCTCATTAAATAACTTGTGGAAAAGATGGCTACCCAGTGGATGATTCAGTCCCTTCCCTATTGGGACACACCAGTTAGACCTGGTTTATACTACTCCCAACCACCTGCCATGTGTCCATGAGCAAGTCTCACCTTCCTCTCTCCTGGCCTTGGTTTCCCTAGGAACCGTGGGGTAGGGGCAGACCAAGTGGAGACGTGTTTGTGTGGCCCAGGGTCCTGAGATGCAGAGGTAGCTCTGTCCTCCTTTGGGCTGTGGCATAGTCAGACCCCAGCCTGGTCAATGGGCTATGCATTATGGTGGGGAGGGAAACGTGGAGAGACAAGATGCTTCCCTACTGACCCCTGTGGAGCTCCTGCCTAGGTAGGAAGGGTCTAGGGATTAGTATATTCCACTTAGAGTCAGTCCAGGAGCCCTAGAACCCCTCAAGGGTGGTGACAGCTCTGATCCAGTGTAGTGGCTATCTGAGGGCAAAGGAACCCAGTGTCCTGACCTAGAACGTGTGGGAAGGGCAGCCAAAGATGGCAGAGGGTCCTGGTCCCCAGTCTAGGTGTTGCTCATAACCATGAAAACTTTCTCCTAAGGGTGTGTGAAGTTCCCTGCACCCTAACCATCCTAACCCTCCCTTCTCCTACCTAGAACAGGCCAGGAGATGTAGTAAGCGTCATGTGTTTAACCCTGAGGGCAGAGTAGAGGACTTCGGGAGGACTATAAGGGGCCCTCAAGCTTCCTTACTGGGGTGGAGGTAGTTGAGAAAGGGTCTCCAAGTATGAAGGTCATTTCATTTCACTTTCAGGTCCCCTGGAGGGCAGCAAAGACAGGCTTGGGGTTTAAGACTCCAGGACCTGGCCTTCAATCAAGGTTTGCTCACAGAGTATCTGGCAAGTCACTTACGTTTCCAGACTTAGCTTTTCTGGAAAATGGAGTAACTCCAGCCTACCCCACAGCTGCAAGGTAGTGGAGCTTGGTGCATCCTGGCTGGTAGCCAAGCCTAGAGCTGCAGTCTCACTGTGGAGTTACAGGTGCCACTGGGGTCCTGGCAACTGATCAGAAATCTGTCTGCCCCTCCCATCTTGTCCTCTCTGAGCCTGGAGCAGGTGGAGCCAGAGGCTTTCAGTGCAGCCAAGCAGCAGGCTGCCTACTGGTGACTCCACAGCTCAGAACCCCAACAGGGGACTACCACCCATTAGAGGCTAGAGAACAAAGATTCAGCCCCTGTTCCTGCTGAGCCAGGCCAAGTGACCTTGCAAGGGTGGCTGCCAAGCTCCATCCCCCTGGATCCTCTGGGACGGCACAGAGAGGGCTTTTCTAGGTGGCTTTACCAAGGCTTGATGGATATGGCGGTAGCAGTCCCTCTGCCCAGGCAGGCCAGGGATACCAAACCAGGCTTCTTCAGTTCATTCCGATGGGAGTCGGGTTCTTAAGAGGTTTTCTGTGCTAAGGACTAGTTGGGACTTGACCTGGCCACAAAGTGATCCTTGGAGATCTGCTCTTTGCAGATAACACAAGTAAAAGCAGAGCACAAGGGCCATCACACAGTAGGTAGCCATGGAGACATGTTTGAGACTACTGGGGAGAGTGGTTGTTGTTTGGGGGAGGTCAGGGGAGAGGGTGTCACCAGCCAGATGCCCACCATGGGGGAGCCTGGTTGCCTCAAACCCCCAACCTCTAGTTGAGGCCACTGAGACATGGCCCCTGAGAATGGTTCCTGCGCCCTAGATCTTACCTAGTTCCAAAGATGGTAAACCCAAGGAAAGCATGTCTACCACGTGTCAACTGAGGGCAGACACATGGCAAAGGGCCTGTCACACTCACAGAATCAACTGTTTATTGATTTCTATTCTAAAATACTATACATTTAAAGGAATTCCTAAACTTGAAAGACTTGACAGTTTTTGGTCAATCTGTAGCACAGGAACAGCTTTTCTGCTGGTAGGTTATGACAGCCACAGCGAGACAGGGTGCTCACTGAGGAGCACAGTTGCTGAGGTGCGACATGGCACAGCACTGGCCGAACTAACAGAATGAAAGCCCTCCCTGTGCCTGCCTCATGGGACTTTAGAACAGTTCCACTGCACCCTGAGGACAGGGGCACCTTGGAGGAATTGTGGTAGGGGTGAACTCACCCCCTTTTGTTTGGTCATAAGTTAACAACAGGGACCGTGAGGCCTGTGACTACTGCGAAGACCTGACACTTTCACAGTGCTCTGCTGTGGAGCTAGAGCCGTGGCCAGTGAGGCCCAGTTTTCTCAGCAGCCTCCACTCAGAGCCACGTCTGAGCTGGGAGGAGGCCACCAGACAGTCATGCCTATACTTCAAGGCCACAGGCTTCAAGTAGTTCACAAACTATATTTGCTGTCAGAAGCCACTGATTCATTTCAACTCTTTAGAATCTCTGAATATCAAATAATATATACAGATATACATCAAGACACGACAGTCTAATATAAAGCATCTTAATCTACAGATACAGCTGCTTGAAAAGTTAGTCTTATCTTTTAACTTTTTAAATTACTAATAAAATTGTTAATTTGCAAAAACTTAAGCAAAAATAAAGTGAAAAAAAATATATGTTTTTTTTGGTATTTTTGATACAGGGTCTCCCTGTAGCCCCAGCTAACTTGCTATTTCCCCTTATCCTAGAACTCCTTTTCTCATTTTTAATTTTTTTTGGTATTTTTGATACAGGGTCTCCCTGTAGCCCCAGCTGGCCTAGAACTTGCTATGTAGACCAGGCTGGCCTTGAACTCAGAGATCCACCTGCCTCTGCCTCCCAAGTGCTGGGATTAAAGGTGTACACCATCATGCCTGGCTCGAAAATAATTTTTAACTGTGGCAATGTTGAGTACTGGGTAAGATTACCTCTGCAGTGTGCCTTCACCATGGAACCCCACTACAGCGGTCCCCACTTTTGGGTGGGTGTCTTCCCTCTGGACATCATCTAACAGCAGGGCTGTAGCCCTGGTGTCTGCCCCAGCAAAGGCTGGTGAATAGCACAAGGTAGAAATCAAGATGGCATATCCTAAAGAACAGCACAGATCAATGGCCATAATTCGCATGAATTGAAGAGCATATAAAAAACTATAACTGTACAGTGACTTTAAATTAATACCTCAAAACTTTTTACTCAGAAAATAGCATGTACGTTGGCTTGTTTAGCTTGAAGGGACTCATTACAGAAAAATCAGTGGAATGAGAATCAGTGTAACCCACCATTGACTTGGGAGAGACAAGGTCAAGATAGAGATCCATGATGTAGAGCTAGTGGGCGTGGGGAGGGTCCGGCTCCTGCTTTCGGCCATGTCCTCCTGTGCCTAGATCTGCCCAGATGCACTTGGAAAGGGACGAAGTCCCCAGTGTAATGACCAGCTCATCTGCCTTCAAAGCATACCAGGAAGCCAAGAGCCATGGAACCATCATCATCTTTTGCAGGTGGAGTGGATGCCTACACGGCTGCTGGGGGCACTAGAGGTGTTGCTGCCTGGGCTGAGGCTAACGGAGCTCCTAGACTGCCCACTTCCAGCTCTCCGCCAGCCTGTCCCTGGCCCATCACTGGATGGCCTCAACATAGTTGGCAGGGTACAGGCCAACCTGCCCGCTGTCCAAGCGTCCCTTGCACCAGCCCTGCTCGTCTTCATCCTCTATCTTGGTCAGCTCATCACCTGCAAGACAAAGTGAGAGTGGCCTTAGTGGGAGTGGCCAACAGTGACCACGGAGAGCTACCTGTGTATCCAAACCCTGTGTGGGATGTGCTTCTGGGTCCACAGAGGGTCCCTAAGGCAGAGGGACAAGTACCTTCAAGTACACAGGCCCTGGGGTTTCAATCCCCAGCACCACAAAAACCCAGAAGCCAATAAAACAACTTTTAAAAAAATTGGGGCGGGGATGGGGGTGGGAAAAAAAATGAAAAAAAAAAAATTGGAAGAGAGACAGACTGAGGGTTCAAACTCTCCATGAGGGTACTAGCTAGTGTGTAGTGAGATGTTTAACTAGGGTGAGGTCGCCTAGGCACCTGGACGATGTCAGTGGAGGAAATGCCAAGATGGCAGTCTTCTAGGTGTATGGAGTAGCATGCCTACTTGACCAGTGGGGTCTGCCATGAGAGTATGGAGATGCTTGGAGAACAGCTGAAGGTCTAGAGCAGACATTACTAGCAGGAATAGTGCACTAGGGGCAGCATCAGCAGGCAGCTGCAGAGGCAGCCCGGCCGCTCCCAGGGGTAAGGAGGAGACTGAAGGCGTGAGAGAGAAATCGCAGCAAGAAAGGAATATGAGGTCTCTTTGGTATCGCTCTCTGACCTAGCCAGTAAACTGGATACAAGAGGCAAAGAGACGGAGGTGTCAGCCTCCATGTGGTAGAGTCAGAGTCCCTGTGGAGAGGCTGGGAGGGGCTGTTGGTGAAGGTGCAGCCTCATCTGCAGTGGAGATGCCAGGACCCTGGCAGGCACTAAGGACAGCTGCAAGTGTGCAGTGGAGCGGCCGGAGCCTTTGAGACAAGCTCTGTGTGTTGACAGCAGAACTGGAGAAGGGGGACTGCCCAAGCCCTTTGGAGGCCAGAAGATCACTCGTGAATCCTAGATGTTGGACACTGAGATACTCTACTGGACTTTGGTCTTTCTTAAGTGTGCCTGGTCTCTCCCTTTTGAAATAAAGTATTTAACGTGTTTTTTATTTTATAGGAACCACAGTTAAGAGACTGGGTTTTTAAGAAGATACTGAACTCTAAAGTATTGGAATCCATTAAAGACTGTGGAACTTTTAAGGCTGTACTGTATTTTTATTATGGCAGTAGCCTAAGATCCAGGGGATAAACAAGAAAGGAAGGGCCAGGGTTGTACAGCGATGTGTCTGTGTGCCAAGCTGACCAAGGGCTGATTGTACTGGTTAGTTTTTGTCGACTAACAAGAGACATACTAGAGACACCTAGGAGGAGGGACCTTCAGTTGGGGATTTCCTTCATCAGATTGGCCTGTGGGGCATGTCTGTGGGGCATTTTCTTGACTGTTGGTAGACGTTTGACGGCCCAGCCCACTGTGGGGTGGTGCCATCGCTGAGCAGGTGTGCCCAGGCTGTGTAACAGAAATAGCTGAGCAAGTCAGGGGAGCAAGCCAGTAAGCAGTGCTCCTCCATGGTCTCTGTTTTAGTTCCTGCCTCCAGGTTCCTCCCTTGAGCTCCTGCCTTGGCATCCCTCAATACAGACTATAACTTGTAAGCTGAAATAAGCCCTTTCCTCCCCAACTTGATTTTGGCCAGTGTTTTATCACAGCAGTGGAAAGCCGCCTAGAACAACTTAGAATGGCAGAATCACACTTCAAGCCCAAGTGGCCCACTTCTCCTTCTGGCCGTCTGCCACTCTTCTCAGGGTGCTCCAGGGGTCTCTTCTGTGTACGCCCCTCCCCCAGCACCTCAACACTGGACCCAACAAAGGCTTCTCCTAAATAGTCTATCTACTTATGGTCCTTTACTACAGATAAAGCAGGCTGCTTCTGGTTATACGAAGAACAGACAAGACCCTGGGGTTTCCAATCCTGGCTCTTGCAATGAGGAAGAAGCAACTAACAGTTCCAGAGAGTGAAGCTAAAGGCCCAGAAACCCAAAACTCTGATGTAACACAAGGAAGCAGTTGAGTTCCTGAGAGAGATCAAGAGCAGAAGCTTTAAGAAGCTTAAAGCCGCTGGGTGTGGTGATGCACGCCTTTAGTCCCAGGCAGTCAATCTCTGTGAGCTCCAGGCCAGCCTGGTCCACATAGTGTGTTGCAGGCCAGCTGGGGCTATAGGGAGACCCTGTCTGAAAAACACCAAAACAAACAAACAAACAAGGCCACGATTAGTGAGGTACTGAGAAGCCACAAGGCAGGGGTGGTGGGTGGGTTGGGGGTGTTGAGAGCCACTAAAGGTTCAAGAACCAAGGATCTGGCATTCTAAGCTCAGGCAAAATGCCTTTGGTTTGAGCATCTAGAACAATAAACCTTGGGCTTTGAATGCTAGAAGTCATCAGCCTCTGGTTTTCAAACCTTGGAGCTGTAATTCTCCGGCATTGTGAGTCTCTGGAACTTAGGGTCATTAACACCGAGGAGCTGCTATTTGTCTATCTGGAATTTCTGTCCACATAGAGCTGAAGAATCCCAGCCAGCCATTTGTGACAGAGACACTGAATACACAACTCTAAGGACTGGTGTCTGGGTCAGCTGGCTGGTCCTGCTGATGGCCAGGGGCAGGGTCAGAAGCCAGGCTTAAGGCACAGCCCCCGTCCACCACTGTCTGTTGTCTCCCAGAGGTGCTGGAGGGGCGTACTTCAACCTGTGTTTTTGAGGTTTTTCTTTGTTTGATTTGGTTTTCTGAGACAGTCTCTTATGTAGCCCAAGTTGGTCTCAAATTTGCTAAAGAGCAGAAGATGACCTTGAACTCTTCCCACCTCTGGCCTCCATGGGCAACACACACACACTGCATGTATATACATGCATCCAAACTCATACACATAAAATAAGGAAATCTTTAAACAAATTTGTAAAGACAAATAGAAAGTTCCCCCAGGCAGGGCCCACAGAATCCCAACTACTTTCAGCTATGGGTCACACTTGAATGTGGGCAGGTGCTACAGAAGGAATGTCTGATCAGTGCTGCCTGAGATGAGGGCATGTCTGGCCCAAGACCATACTGGGTGCTACTCTGGAGTCAGGCAGAGCTGTGGGCATTATGACAGGGTACCTCACTGCTCTGAATTTTGCCACTGAGAATCTGCTACTTTCGAAACTTAAGGGAGGGTGTGCAGTGACGACCCACCCATGAAATAGCAGGACCTCACAGACTTCAAGCACAAAGACAACCCTTCAGCCACACTTCCAGGGGATATTTGGGAAGTCACCTACCAGCCTTGAAGCTCAACTCATCATGTTCCTGTCCCTCGTAGTCATAAAGGGCCCGGACTCGTACTTCTGTTCCTGAGGTAGTGTCCTCGTCAAATGGATTAGAGTCCCCATTGGCATCCGTGGAGGAGAAAGGGTTGTTAGACTCATCGTCAGACCAGTCAGTGGGGTAGTTCTGAGTCTTCTCATAGCTGCTCACACTGTAACAAAGAGGTAGACATGGGGCTCTCAGGAAGGGCTTGGGAGAGGATATGAGGGTCCCACCCAGAGTCCCTGCCCCAAGGGTTGGTGCAAGGGCCATGGGCTCCAAGAGGACACAGCTTCCTCTGGCAAGATAGATAGAGCCTGGCCCCTCTGAGCCTTTGTGCCATCCACACTCATCCTGAGCTCTCAGCAGAACCAGGGGCTGGGGATGCTCCAGAGCAGTGCCTGCAGGAAGACCTCGGTCCACTTCAGCAGGTCCCCCAGCAGAGCCTGCCTGTCTCCTGTGATGGTGCTGCTCAAGCTTTAAAGGGTTAGCAGAGGACAGAGAAAAAGCAACCAAAGAGTGTTAGCGGTTCCCCCTTCCCCCAAGAAATGGCGAGGCAGACAGTGACCCAGCAGGCCTGGTGTGCTGAGCAGCAGGTGCCCACTTCCTGCAGGACTCATGCATTGCTGGACTGCTGAGAGCTGAAACCCCAAGAAAGACCCCTGGATAGAGAGAGAAAAAAGACCACAGGGATGGGGCGGAGCCAGAGGGAAGCGCATGTTCACCAACTTTTTGGCCTTAATGTCCTCCTTCTCACTGACGGTGCTGCCTGTGTCGTCCTCATCCTCGAAGGGGTTGTAGCTGGACTGCAACTGCGCGGACTGGGCGGGGTTGCTCGGGACACTAAGACTGCTATGAGGAGAGAGAGAGTTTTCAGGGACCCCACCTTGGGGCCCAGCGAGGGCCCTGGTGATTCTCAGCAGCAGGAAGACAGTGCTCGTACCTCCAAGGTCACAGCAGCTCCTCACTGATGAGAGGAGTAGGTTGTGTGAAAAAAAGACTTAGTAGGGTACATCGCTCTATTCTAAGTGTCAACACATCTTGGGCATCTACAGTCAGTAAGACAGCCATTTTCCTCCTTGTTTCTGGAGACACCAATGTAGAACAAGGCTCCAAGATGCACGGGTGGTTCCTGGTTCAAGGCTTCTCCTCAGCCCTAGCTCAATCCCATGTGAGGTTTAGCCAGTGAGGAGAACTGATGGAGGGAGCTCCTCCGGGAAGCAAGAGTCCCAGGAAAGACTGCACCCGTGAAGCATTGTCCTCCCTAGCTCCCCGTATCCCTCTAATCACTAACGTCTTGGGTGGCCAGGTCCCCAGTGCTGGAGCTTCCAAAATTGGGACCAAGCTTGCTGCACAGAAGGATTCCTCAGTGCACCACAGTCAATCCATTTCTGCAACTTTGCCAACCGCCTGCCTCCAGGCCCAGTGGGGACCAGAGAGGCTGGGAGCTGGGGGCGGGATGAAGTGGCTGCAGGTGTGAAGCACTAAAATGCCACCACAGAATGTGCAGGAATATTCACCCTGGGCTGGTGCACTGCACTTCCCTCAGCTGCAGCTGTTCCAGCGTCAGGACAGCAACACTTTTACGAATGAGTAGCTTCCCCCAGAGCCAGGGAGGGGAGGGCAGGAAACCCCTCAAGTGCTACAGAGTGATGCTGGCTGGCCGCCTGTGTACAAGCAGCATGCTTGACACTGCACCCTCTGCCCTCCTAGGCTCCGTTCTCTAGCTGACTTTTTTGAGGGACTAGGTGCTGGGCACTGAATTGATGCATTAGCCTTGCAGCCTGAAATCCCCAGGATCTCCTCTGAAACCTGGTCTCTTCCTTCCCACTCCTAACTCCAAGCATCAAGGGGATGATGGTTCTGATGCTGGGCGCACATTACTTAACTTGGAGTACACAGGAGATGATAGCTTGGCTCTGACGTTGGGTACCCATTACTAAGCACCCTGGACAGTCCATAAGCACGGCTCCTGAGGGAGGACCAGCCAAGTGTAACTGGGGAGCTTTGGGTAGCTTACTGCCCTGGCCACAGACAGGTCACTGGACTGTGAGCTAAGTATGGCACAGACACCTCCAGCCAAGTCCTAAGGAAAGCTTCCTACAGTACATTCTTTCCAGAAGGTTCTAAGGACCACAGTGTCACCCCTTCTATCCACAGGTCATTTTGTCAGACAATCAATGCAGGCATTTCCAAGCTTCTTTTAGGGAGAGGGTTGTTTTGTTTGTAACGTTGGGGATTGAACCTAGGGCCTTTTATTTGCTGAGCGAATGATCTATTGCTGAGCTATATCCCTAGCCTCACACCAGAAATAACTAACAATTTAAGTGGGTTGAACACAGGCTACCTGTCCATCCCCCACTGCCCTCCTATCTACTGGGGCCTGCACATAAAAGCCTGAGCCCTGGCAGCACTGAACCACGAGGAGGGTGCCACTGACAGCACACCTCACTCTGCTGTGTCCACTCAGGGCAGCACCATGTGGGCACAAACGGCCAATGCGAGCATCTCCTCACCAGACAGGCAGACTGTGGCAACAGGCTCATTCTCTGGATCTTTCAGGAGCTCCAGCACCAGGCCAAGAGAGCATCTTGAGAGAGAGTTGTCTCCCAGAACTCAGAGAGCTCCCGGAAAGTTTGTTCTACAAGTCCCCATCCCTGGGGAATCCAGGTGCCCCAAGCTGGCGGCACTCCATCAGATAACCCCCGCTCCTGAAGGATGGTCCATTTTGGACTACAGCTGTAACTGGAGCTCACCTGCCATGCTTATTCTGCCCAGACTGGTCACCTGTCTGGTTGATGCCTGTTAGGGTGACACCATCAGTGGCTTTCTTCTTCTCTCTTCGGCTCAGAGTTCGATTCAGGTCTGCAGACCACTCCTGGGCAACCGAGAGAGAAAAATGGGAGGTTCATTTGTTGGAAACCATGGTTGTCCGAACACGAATTCAGCCAGAACTCATCTATGCTGTGCAGCTAGTAACATTCAGCCTTGCAGCCTCTGCTGTCCGTTGTTTCCCAGCAGACCTCCATCTTCCAGTGCCTACCTTTCGGCCCAAAGAACCTGTTGGTACTCTCACAACCACATGGCCCCAGATGTGGAATCCCCAGAGACAACAGACTTTACAGGCCACAGGGGAGATACAGAACTCGATCTCAGGGCTGAGGATATAGCATAAGGTAGAGGGCCTGCCTAGCATGCATAAGGCCCTGGATTCTAACCCCCAGCAACTCTCACATGTGCACGCACACACCATGGAATCAGGACTGATGCTGCCTTTCATTCCAGCTTGGAGGGCCTTCTGGTCCCATCCGAGCTTACCATGTCTCTCAGACTCTATCCCGCCCATGCCTGCATAGGCTCTGGTGGCCTCAACCAGAGGTCCTTGAGCCTCTTAAGTAAACAAAGCCAGCCCATGGGGAACCTGGCTGAGATGCATAGCTCAGGCCTCAGCCACTAAAGCTCCTTCCAGCTATGCTCTAAGCTCTGGGTCCAAGGGCTGACAGTTGTACACTGGAATCTGAACAAGCCTACCACATAGGAAACAACCCAGGAATGCAAAGAAAATCAGAGGCAGGTGGCTAGGGGATGGCAATGGAGGCTAGCAGGCTCTGACCCAAGTCCCCAAAGAGCCCTCCCTTATGTGTCTGCCACTCTGGACTATTTCCTTTTTGATCAAAGTGGCATGCTGGTAGCTAACAGAGCAGAGCAGAGCAGAGGCTTTAACTCCCCACAGGTTTTTTACTTGCTCAGCGACAGGCTTCTATCAATGGTAAAACACACAGGGAAAACAGGGAGTGAGACCTTCATTTTCCAGAAAAATCTATGTGTGTTCATGCACTTAATGAATTCAAAACCACTTGCCTCAAAAGCCTGACCATCCGATTCTGTCCCCAGAACCCATGTAAAGACAAAGAATACTGGCCGGGCGTGGTGCGCACGCCTTTAGTCCCAGCACTCGGGAGGCAGAGGCAGGAGGATCTCTTTAAGTTCGAGGTCAGCCTACTCTACATAGTGAGTTCCAGGACAGCTGGGGCTACAGGGAGACCCTGTCTCAAAAAGACAAAAACAAACAAACAAACAAAAAAAACGAAGAATATGAACTCCACAAGGTTGACCTCTGCCTTACACACAGACACACACACCACACACACACGCCACACATACACACCACACACACACCACACACACACACGCACACATGCCACACACACGCCACACACACACGCCACACACACACACCACACACACACACGCCACACACACACGCCACATGTACCCTGTCTCAAAAAGACAAAAACACACACCACATACACCCCACACACACCACACACCACACACACCATCCCCCACACACATACATACACACAACACACCACACACACCACACACACACACACACACACACACACCCACACACACACACACACACACACACACACACACACACTCTGCCCCTTAGTCCACAGCTTTGTCCCTACTTAGTCACAGAGAATCAAGGTCACAAGACATCTTGGAAACATTACGTCTAGGTTTCAATTCGTTAGATGAAGAAACTGAGGTACACATGGAGTCCATCAGCCTTGGACCACTGACCTCCAAACCCAGGTCACCTTGTCTGTTAATGATTCTTGATAGAAATAAATAGACTAGGAACTCAGTCGGAACCTCAAGCCCCCCACAGAGTGATCTCTGAACAGAAATGGACCCTGACCAGGCAGCCAATACAGACAAGAGGTAAGAGTGGCTGACCTCACACAGCACAGGCCTTGGCAATCAATGACTTAATCATCAAACAGAAACTTACTTCATCCTCGCAGCATGAAAAATGAAAAGAAGTAACTTCATTAGAGAAAACCAGACACCACCCATGACAACCGTGAAAGTAAAGACAAGGACATGACAGGGCTGGTTCCCAGCCCGGGGCCCAAGATGAGTCCATGGAATCCTGCCAGGGAACCCCTCTGGGGAGACAACCAGTTAAATGCTTTTCGCTGTGCCCCTCTCTGGGTATTAACAGGCACTTCTGAGGGAACCAGGAAATATCAACATGAGGTCCTATGCTACTAGCTATGCCTAGGACTCCACCCACCAGCACGCTTTTTCCCAGTGTGCCGTCCTAGGGGCAAAGGCTGTTTCTTCTATAACTGCTTCCACTTGAAAATGCCCAAGACACCAGTATCTTCTGGGGCCCAGCCCACTCTGCAGTCCCTTGATAAGTGGGTGTTGGGACATGCGATGCTCGGCTCCTACCAGTTGGGGAAACCATGTAAAGCTCCAGGAAAGGTAAGCAGCACACTGACACTAGTCCCACCCACAGCACAAAATGAGATCTGGGAGCAGAGTGGCCACTCTGTTCTTGGACACCCTCCCTGCACAGTGAGATAAACTTGAGCTGCTGTCCTGGGTTACCAACAGTATGGAGGTAAGGAATGACAGTGTAGGTTGGGAAGGCGAGGGAACTTGAGGAGCCCAGGCATGTGCAGACACCCAGCATGCACCAGGTCACTGCCCTGCAACAAGGCCTGGTTATTATTCTCACTTTACAAAGGGACAAGTGTTTGCTCATGTCCCATAGCTGCTAAGGGGTAAACAAGGCTCTGGCTACAAGGAGTCCAGAGGTGTCATGAGGCCCAAGCCTGAAGCACTTCCTGGGGCCAGCAGGGCAGGGCTGATACACACCATTGGGAAGAAAGAGTTCACTCCTCCAGGGACTGGGAGTGGCATAACTTCTGGTCACCTGATGCTAACATGCTGTCAGGGGGTCAGGTAGGGGCCTAGAAATACAATCCTAATGTCAAGATCCACAGGCCTGAAATTTTATTAAAAATACTAGACGACTTGGGCCCACAAAATGGAAGAGAGAAGCTCATTATGAGCCAAGGTTAACTACATTTATAGCTCAAGGTACAAAAAAGTCCCCACAGAAAAGGAAAGGTAAGCAGCCCACTGATACTATGGCACAAAATGAGGTCTGAGAGCAGAGCGGCCACTCTGTTCCTGGACACCCTCCCTGTATGGTGAGATAAACTTGAGATGGTGTCCTGGGTTAACAAGAGAGAAGTGCCAAGACGAGCAAGTGGTAGCCAACGAAGGGCTTTGGTGATTATAGTGTTCAGGACTCTAAACACCAGCCCAGTGAGGACTGATGCTCTACATGAAGGCTGCCTAATAAATGGCAAACAACTACACAGGATGGGGAATAAGAGCAACACTCAAAAGCTCAATTCTGGGGGTACTCTCAACTCTGAAGTTCTCCTGTGCTTCCTCTTACCTCAAACTGTGGCCAGTTCATGGCCATGCCAGGCCCGTGGTTGGCTCGGAACCACCTCAGGTCCTCCACCGCATCGGCTGCTTTGATGCTCTGCTCTAGCTCTCGATAAATGGTTTTGTAGCTAAATCAGAGACAGAAAGACACTTCTAAAGAAGGCCATTCTTCCCAGCCACAGCAGACCCTGTGGTCTTCTGTAACCAGAACTAGCCTGTTTCCCAGACACAGATCAGAACATCATCCCCTGGCGGCCACACACATGGGCACACCATCCTTCACAATCCGGTTCTGAACAAACGAGCTTCACACTGAACCAGGCGGTGCACCGAGCCTTGTCCTGCATCAGATCATGTATGTGCTCTGTGGGGGCCTCTGAGTCAGGTGGTGTTGAAGAAGCAGCTACTGGAGAGGTCAGAATGCCTGCCACCCACTTGCCCGTGGCCCTCAGGAAAGCTGGAGGTTTACCTCCTCAGGTGAAAGGCGGTATGTATGGGAGGCGGATGGAGCTGCAGGACCCAGCGAGAGAACACAGCTTAGTGGGTGACCCTGCTCAGCTTCCTGGGTCAAAAGCTTGGGTCACAGCTGGACCTGACAGTTTGTTCCACTGATTATCTATGTAGACGGTACTTCACCTTTTCCAAGCCCCGTTTCCTCTGCTGAGTGGGCGTAATACCTTCTGTTAAGGACTGAATTGTGTCCTCCACAAACAATGTGCTGGATGGAGTCCTAACCTCAGGATATGACCTTTGTTGAAAACAGTTTTTGTAGAGGTGAACAACTTAAAACAGGTCCAAGAGGACAGCCTAATCCAGCAGGACTGCTGTTCCTAGAAAAAGGAGGACTGGGGCTAGATCCACACAGGGGAGATGACGTGAAGATACTCAGGTAAAGATGGCCAGGGGACTGGGCAGAGATGGTCCGGGAAGCTGAGGGCTGCGGCAGACCCCAGAAGCTGCAAGAAGCGGGAAGGACCTGCCTGGAGCCTTCAGGGGGCGCTCGACCTGCACGCCCTGGTCTCTGACTTCTGCTCTCCAGAACTGTGAGTGATGAGCCTCTGCTGTTTTCTGCCACCCAGGTGTTGGTACAGTTCCAGCAGCCCCAGAAAGGAAGTATGTCACCTGTGCCTGGCGTGGCTTGGGACACAAGGGACACAAGCTGAGCCCATCGTGGCCTTTGTTAGAGGCCGGTTACCTCCAGTATAAAGAAATCACCTCAGACACGGAAGAGCAGGACAGTCCCAACCCTGGCCCCTAAAAGCTGTGCAGTGGCAGCAGGTCCCTGAGCCCCACCCAGCCTTGGCGTCCTCATCGGTAAGATGGGGTCAGTGCTGCCTACTTCCCAGGCTGTCACAGACGAAATGACAGCAAGGCAGTGCAGTGACTGCTCCACTCCGTTTTGTAAGACACAGGGATGCCATTTCCTTCCACCAGCAGGCTGTGGTTCTGCCAGATGGGTGAGAGGAGGAGACAGATGTCTGTCTGTCTCCAGTCAGTGTGGACAAGATAAAGGGCCTGACATGGGACTGTACTGTCCTGGGGCAGAGGACACGAGGCCTGGGGAGTGCTGGCCTCATCCCCGAGTGGATTTCCAACATGGTGGCTGTGGCTGGTCCTAACTGTGGTGCCAGGACAGGCAGCTGTCCTTCCTGTCCAGAGGCATGGCATCAAGCCCCGCCATGCCGGCCCTGCCTAGGCCCTCCACGGCCCGTGCTGCGTGCTGGCCCAGCCTACGGGCCCCGGGCATCGGGAATGTGGCACAAGACTCCGGCTGACTCTGCCACCCAAGGCTGTGCACGACACCCGAGTTTATTTAACAGCAGCCTCGCTCTGACTCACCCTGATGGCTTTTCTGCCTCCAGGGACACTTACGCGGTCACGTTGGACAGGTCCAGGTGCTTCTGAACCTCCAGCAGAACCTCCCGGAAGAAGCGCAGGCGCTTCTCCTCAAACTGCTGGCACTGCTCGAACACCTGCTCCATGTTCTCCATGTACTGGGGCGTGGTCTGGTCAAGCTCCTTCAGGGCTTTCTCGTACTTCTCTCTGCTCTGTATTGAATCAGGGCACAAGACGGAGGCTCACTCCCGTTCCACCTGGTTCAGCCTACAGACCGAAGCCCGCAGCTTCTCAGGCCTCCCAGACTCCAAATGCAAGGAGCCCGAGCTCCAGCCTGGCATTCTCCAAGGTCCCGCCTGGCTCCCTGTGCGTCTCCGTGCAAAGTCGCACAGTGTCTGCTCTGCCTGTCACTGGAACAAGGCCTCACCAGGCAGACGTAGGGGAGTGGCCCTCACCCTGGTGCTCAGTGCGCCTGGTCCGAGCACATCGCGTGCCAGTGTCTGCTTTTTCTGTGAGGAGGTCGGTGCTGGGCGGCCTTCCAGCCTAGACCTGGCCCCACAGCTGTGTCTTGTGAGTCACCTTAGAGCAGGGTCATGGTTCTGAGTCGAGACGGGCCTGGACCTCACCTTCCTTACCAGAAAATGAGGATACTTTCTGCCTCACAGCGTTCTGAGATTTAAATGGCACAAGCTGCATGAATTGGACCTTTCCAGTTCTTAATCCCTAACCGTCCAGCTCTCTCTGCACCTCCTTTGCAGGCTGTCCTCTAGAACAACTTTTAAAAGAAAGGAAGTAGTAAAATTGTGGCCTGTCAAGAGTGTTCTGTGCAGATTGAAATGAATGAAATTCCTAAGGGGACTATGTGGACACCTGGCCTGCTTTTAATCCAGGCAGAGGCAGGTGAACTGATGTGAGTCAAGGTTAGCCTGACCTACATGGTACATTTGAGGCTAGCCAGGGCTACATAATGAGGTCCTGTCATAAACAAACAAATAAAAACCAAAAGAAAACCCACACAAAAAACAAAAACATTAGACCCTGACAATGAGAGTAGAGGCTAAGTCTGAACCCGCTTTCACTCTGTAAGACACACAGACACACAAGCACAGACACACAGACCCTCTATAAGAAGGTCGGAGTCCTACCCAGGCCACTGGAGCAACTTCTCTGTCCCCTTCGCACACTAGGGCACTATGTCTACTCCATTTACCCTAGGACTCAGGTGCAGAATCATCTCTCTGTATGTTCTCTTTTGAAGCCTGTCCCAACCTCCTGAGGACAATCCCATCCACTTTCTGGGCCCCACTCCTGTCCTTGTCACTGTCCTGGCATCTCTGGCTCCTCTCTCTCCTCTGAAGTCAAAGATGGTCAAGATGGAATCCTCTATGAACAGAGAAAAAGGTCACCTTTGCCAGTGGCACCATAGCAGGAACAAAGCTCTAGACACTGGTTACTCACCATCGACTATAGCACTAGCCTGTGCCCACCAACTGGGAGCCCCAGCTCAGACCATAGTGCACAGCTGTGGGTACAAACCCCTGCAATGGCAAGCAGAGGCCTTCAGGTCACAACGGCCTCCCAGGAGGTGTGCCAGTATTCTTCCTCTGGGATCCACAGCTTCCAGTCTGTTCTGATCATGCTGAAGCCATGTCCTGACTGCAGCATGGACCAGGGACTAAGCAGGGTCATTTGAGAAAATCCCCTAGCAGAGACATAGAAAAGTCCCCAGTGTCTACTCACAGGCTGATGTGCCCCTGATGAGGACTGTACTATTCTGGCACTGAATACAAGAACTTCCTCTCTGAAGGACACTGCAATATACAGTCTCACCTAGCCAAAGACGCATGAAAGCTACACCCAGCAGTCAGCTCTGGCTTGTGGAAAGGGAAGGGGAGGGACTGTACTTCTCTCCAGTACTCTAGGGCTATAAGGATCACTCAGGCTCTGAGATCACTGGTAGACCACCCAGGCGGGAAGGGTCCCAGAGGGGAAGCCACTGCAGTCTCTGTCCCTGACAGACATTTCATATCTGACCTCATGCCCTGGGTCTGTTCTGTGAAAGTACCATACTTCCTCTCCCTGTTTCCTGTACACACACACACACACACACACACACACACACACACACACACACTTTTTTTCTAAGCACCTTCCTAGGCAACTGATTCCCTGGGAGCCAGGCAAACGTCTTAGCGCTCCCCTGGGCCCTATGTTTCCTGAGCCTACGTATCCCCTCATCTAGCAGGTAGGCCCAGATCCCTCACCTGATCCCACGGTTAGAGGCACTTAGGTAGCTTCAAAATGCCTCAATTCCTGATCCCAGCAATAAAATCTGGGGGTGGAGAGGCAGGGGAGGAGGACTGCTTGAGCCACAGACCTTATGGTACTTCCCTTGCTGGGCGGTAGTGACGAACAGTAATGAAAGGTACAGACAGGCTCTGCAGCCGGATTCCCTGTGCTCACACTGATGTTGGACTCCTCGTTTACAAAGCCACTGTCTAACGCACAGGAGTGCAGCGGCATGGCTCTGAAGCCTGGCAGGGGACAGTAGGTGTCAATCTGCTCAGCACTCCTACCTCACCTGCCAGCCTCAGGTCCTGCTGCTGGAGCACAGCCTACTGTGACTTGGCTCCACCTGCTACTGCAGGCCTAGGCTGGCTAAACCAGAGGCAGGGAGGTAGGCCTGGGCCGCGGCTTACATATCGTGGTGGGGGATGGGGACTTCTACATGACAAGATATTGTCTAGTAGTTTATTCCTGTGACTCTGGGACCGTATCAGCGGGGTACTTCAGATTACAGAATGCTTTGGCAAAGCCATGTCATACAACCTCCTCAGCGGAAACAGAAGGGCTCTCAGAACACTGCACTAGATGCCACATGGCCTGTTCTCTCTTATTGGTCAAAAGTCCCTGTCCTGTCACCCCCAGCTGCTACAGCCTCTGCCTCTTCCAGGGCCTGTCATTGATGGTGGTGGGGCAGCTCCACTCCTCTCATATCCCTCACTTCCCTATGGGCTTCCAGACACGCCCTCCGACCTTCCATCCAATCCTTAGTGCTCTATCTCTAGCTCTCCTTCCATCCTTATGGAAGAGTCTGATAGCCCCCTTCCCTGGCTGCAGGTCTCCCTCAGCATCCAGAGCTCCTACTTCTGCCTGGTGGTAAAGGCCACTGGCATCTGGTCCCTCCAACCCTACTTAGTACCCATTCCCACCTCCATATTTTACACCAGCTGTTCCTCCCTGCTACGACCCAGCTGTCCTCAAATGTCCCTGGAAAGCCACCGAAAGCACCCCATCCCCAGAGCACAAGAACCACCCACTCTCCTGCCTGCCTAGCACTTAGCTCTGTTGTCAGCGGAGGCAGGCACAACTGCTGTGGCAAAGCCAGGCTCTCAAGTACTCAACTGTGTGGTCCTGAGGGCTAGGAGGCTTTACTGGCATTTACCATCATCCAACCACCTAACCAAGCAGTTCCAAAAGGCTTGTGAATGTGCTACCTACGTGGACAAGGGATGCTAACATTCACTATGCACAGGCACGGTTTACCTTCAGAACATCCTGCTTGCACTTTTCTATTTTGTCTTGTAATTTCTTCAGCTGTTCAGGGTTGAGGGACGGATCTGCTTTGCTGTTGGCTTCCCGGGAAATGGCCAACTTCTCTTCTTTGCACGCTGTGTGATGGGCTTTCTTTGCTGCTTCTACCTACAGGGAAAGTGAGTTCTGAGTGCAACATGGCTGCCAGCTCAGGATCTTCAGAGATCACACAGGTTGTGGAACTGCGTGCGCTGACAGAGGAGAGGGAAAGGCAGGCACAAACTATGTGCTTCATCACTGCAACCAGCTGTAACAAATGGCCTCATTCTGCAAGTATTTAAGGTGTGCTAGCTCTGTGCCACGCATGGTTCTGGGCACTGGGAACCCAGGACTTCATTGTATGTTTGAGTTGATAGCTACATGCAGGAACAGTTAAATGCTGGAGTAAGTTATAAGGTACTGAACTCTATGGAGAGAAACCAAGCAGGGGAGGGACACTGGGAGCACCAAGTATATGTGGGCAGAGTTCCCTAGAGAATGGGAGGGAGAAAGCCAGCTGAGATGCCTGAAGGAGGAAGAGATGTGGACAACTGCTGGGAAGAGTATGCCCAGAGAGCCAATAAGAAGTCCCCAAAGAGAACCCCCATGAGTGAGAGGCCTGAGGCAGGGTGGGAAGGAGATGGGGCCCATCTTCCAAGGACTTTTCTTTCGACAGAGGGTCTGGATAGACTGTCCACGTTGGTCTCAAAGTCACGGGGCTTAGACAATCTTCCCAGTCAGTTTTCCAGGTATCAACCACTGGGTCTGGCTCCTGGGTCTGGCTCTTGTGCTCTAACAATGATTTTACTTTATCTTTCTCCCCTCCCCTCCTTAGAGCTGTATGTATGTAATGGTGGCTTCCTTATTTCTGCCAAAGCCACAGATTTCATTGTAGGAAGAAAAAGTGGGAAGAGATTCATCATGAATGGACCCAGGCGAAGAAGGACGAGAAAGGAGATATGGGAAAGCCAAGATATGTAAGAGAGAACGGCCAAGCGGCAGAGGCATGCTCTAGAGGATTCAGAGGAAAGCAGCATAGTTCCCAAGAAAAGATGCTCGAAGGGGCGGCATTCCAGTGAAGAATGGGGCCACACGGCAGGTGTGATGAAGCGAGCATGCTAAGGTCTGGATGGCTGGATTCATCCTCCAGTTAACCAAGGCCTGACACGACTCAATGAGTTTGATTGCTGCTTTCAAAACACTGGGGTATCCAGCACTGTATACTAATTTGGGAGAAAAAGAGCAATTTTGAATTAAGTTTTTATACTAGCCCAAAGGTCTCCTAAGTCTTGAGTAGACAACCTGCCAGGCTAGTGAAATAAACGGTAGTGGGTGAGAGCTCTGCACCTCGAGTTCTGTCATGTCCATATGACGTGTGTGAATGGCAAGGATCAAGTTTAAAGAAAATGCATAAAGCAGTGTCCTGGGCTGGACGAAGGTCAGCCTAGCCTTCTGGTTTCTGGACTGATAATGGGTTTTTCTCCCAGCCATGGCCTCCTGTGGCCAAGAGGAGTTCCTGGGAGTGCAGGAAGGGAGTCCTGCTGGGGGTGGCCACCAGGAGAGGGCAGGGCAGGGCCAGCAAGGGGCCTGTGGGAGGGAGGCACCTCTTTCAGCTTCTTGGCCCAGGGCTTCTGGGCCTTCCTGAAGCCGTCTTCCGCTTCCTTGGTCTCCTTGAAGCCTCCCATCATCTGCTTGTGGAAGGCGTCCTTCTGCCAGTTCTTGATCTTCTCAAAGTCCTCATTCATGAGCGCCGACTTCACTTCTAGGTGCAGCTCACTCACTCTTTCTGCTTCAGACATGACGGCCGTCCAGGCTTTCTCCACGGTCCCATACTGTGGTCCTGACAGAGGAGGAGAACTGGGTTAGCTCAGCTGGGTCAGCAACGGGGATTTCCTGCTCCTGCCACAGCTGTTCACATGGGAGCGCCTGGGCTACACACATTTCCTTTCCTAAAGCCTTGGGGCTCTTTTGTGTGTGTGGAGGAGAGGTTGATGCTGGGTGTCTTCCTCAAATGCTCTCTCTTTAAAATTTTTTTTTACTTGTGCGTGTGTATGGATGTGCACCCCACGTGTGGGCATCCGTGGAGACCAGAACAGAGTGTTGGATCCCTTGGAACTAGTATAGGCAGCTGTAAGAAGTCTGATGTGGGTGCTGGGAATAGAACTTGGGTCCTTTAGAAGGACAGGAAGTGTTCTTAATCACTGACCCATCTCTCCAGCCCCTACTCCTTATTTTTTAAAATCTTATTTTTTGTGTACTGCCTGCATGTATATTAAGTGCACCCTTTTCGTGTAGTGCCTGCGGAGGTCACTTTCGAAAGTGAGCTGCCCCCCTCCAAGAACTCTTACTCCCACACCTCCATGCCTGTGAGTGGTATCCCTCAAGATGAGGCCACTTTCATCCACTCCCATGAGCAGTGGGCCCAGAGGATAAGCCTGAGAATGCTTGTGGGGTAGAAGACCATCTCCTCAGGAGAATGGAAGCCTGTGCTGAGAAAGGGAACAGAGAGGGACTGCACAGGCCCATGTAGAAATCTCTGGGTAGTGCAGGGACACAGTCACCCAGCTCCTGTTTTCATTCCAAAAGGTCAGAAAAGAAACTAGAAGCGCTGCTTCTGCTAAGGGGCTGGGCAGTGAGGGGCAAGAGCAATGACAAGCCTGGAGGTGAAACAGGCCAGACCCAGAGGCTCACCGAGCAGCTCACCAAAACGGGCAGTCACCGAGCGGCTCACCGAAACGAGCAGTCAACGAGCCAAGTCATGACAGAGAGGAGAAGGACACACCACTCTAGGGCTTGAGGAGAGCAATGGACCGCCAAGCCTCTAATCCCCTGAGACTACAAAATACACTCCCAGTACTGCCTATTTACAGTGCCCCGGCCAGAGCCCCAGGTGAGGGTATCTGGAGTGCCAAGTGGATTAGCAGGTGGCAATGAGGCAGTAACAGCTACTGTTAGCTAACAGGGCTGGCCTGTCCCTGAAACTCCAGTCTGGGCCCTCACCCTGCATCAGGTTGTGTCCTGCTTCAGTTTCCAGGGGAGAAGACAGGCAGTTCACGTAGTCAGGGCTGACCCCTCACCTGGGACCTGGCTCTCTTGGCTGCTCCCCTGAAGTTGGCTGGCCATGGTGGAATATTCTGCCCCAAACACTCAGAGAGAATGTGAAGATGCCTCTGCCCAGGAAACCCTTTCTAGTCAGGGTTTCCTCAGCCAGGCTTCTTTCTAGTCAGGAAGTGGGTTCTACCAACAAAACAGCAGCACTTGACATCCTTAGAGCTCACGGGAAGGAACAAAGAGATCACCTCCACCACAGAACACGTGTCATCGCTTCCTTCAAAATCAAAGCTGGGAAGCCCTCCACTTTCTCCTCTCGTATGGTCTGACCTTATGACACTTAAAAGGAAACAGTACCCATGGTCACACACCAAGGGACTGCGCCAGGCCTCTCATGTGACAGGTACTCCCTCAAGTGCTAGCTGTCATTCTCTAGCTTGAAATTAAGCTGGCAAGCCTAAGTGTGTCCTGTGGGTGATGGGGTGGAACAGGAGATTCAGAGCTCCTTGCAATGAGCAGTCTGGTGTCTCTAAGGAAACAGGTCAGAAGCTCACACAGCCTGTGCTTACTAGGTGAGAGGCACCCTGCTGCTCCCCTCTCCCCACACCCATTAAATAATCACACCCCAGAAACTGTAAGATCACTCCTGGCCCTACAAAGTAAACAATTTGTCCAGGGTCCCTGGCAAGGGAGTAGCTGTTAAACATGCCGACCTTACCCTTCTCCACGAGCTGCCTCCAGCGCCGGGCCCACTCAGTGAGCTGCTGTGCATACGCCTTCTCGATGCGGGCACGCTCGTGTAAGCAGTTCATGAGGTCGCCGCAGAGGCGGTAGCCATCCTCAATCCGCTTCACGGTCCGCTTATAGTTCCCAACCTGTGAGACACAGCGATGCTATGAGGCGGGCACTTGGTGGCTGCCTGACTGCTAGGCTCTCCCAGCAGTAGCTAGGCAACCCCTTGCTGCTGTACATGCCAGTGGGGCCCCTATGCTCACTGTGAGGGTCACCTCATCTCTCTAGACTGAAAGACCAGACAATAAGCCTCCCTACTTTTATTACCAACAGAAATAAAAGGACAAAAAACAATGCACACTTCCAGGCCAGCTACTGGTGGAAACCAACTGGTGGGTCAGGGAAGGAGGCCAACTAGCAAGGGGTGGGCTGAGGGTGACTGACAAGTGGTCTCAAGCAGATGGAGGGAACAGAGATGGCTTCTCAGAGCAGGTAACATCTGACAGGCTTCTGATGCCCAATTACAGCAGCAACTATTACTTCCCACCTACCAAGTGTTACAATGTATCAGGTGCCATGCTAGGTATTTTGCACCTCCACACACTGCCTAATCCCCAAGTGGAATAACTGTCCCCATTTTACAGATGAGAAAATTGAGGCTTAGAGCACTTAAGGGCTGGCTAAGATCTCACAGGCACCATGGCTGGACTGGAGCAGAAGGTAGTCTTTCAAGCACTTTCAGGTAGGTTAGATAACAAAGCTTAAATTCTAATTTGAGCTTTGTCAAGGGCGAGTTTTGACTACCATTTTCACATACAAAGAGAGAAACCAGATTATATAAATTAGAAATAGTAAAAGAATGTTTCATCCTTTGTATGTTCTATGTGCACACGTGTGGCATGTTTACGGAAGGCCAGAAGTCAATGTCAGGTGTCTTCCTCAATTGCTCTGCACCTTATTTTTTGAGACAAGGTCTTTCACTGAACCTGGAACTCACAGATTCAGATGGACTAACTGGTCAGCAAGATCCCCGTGTCCATGATAGGTATGTGCCATAACTCCCAGCTTTTTTTTTTTTTCCCAGTTCTTTTTGAGACAGGGTCTCCCTGTAGTTCCAGCTGGCTTAAATTCACTTTGTAGACCAGGCTGGCCTTGAACTCACAGAGATCTGCCTGCCTCTGCCTCCCGAGTGCTGGGTTTATTAAAGCTGTGTGCCACCACGCCTGGCCCCTAAAAAATTGTTTTAAAAAGGGGATCTATTATATTCTCATCAGTTTTACCCTAGTGTCCTCAAAGGTCTTAGCCACTCTCTTGACTTTCCTAACAGTCTCTACCTGGCAGGCCATCCAGTACTTTTTCTGTTTAGTCAGTATGAAAGCCTCTAGAAGAAGGATGGCTTGTACCTGCTTCACAAAGGGGTGCAGCTCTCTCTCTGTAGTGCTGTGGTGCTCCCAAGTCTCTTCTATCTAGAGCTGAGCTAGTTAGGTGGGGAGGAAGAGGAGGAGGAGGAGGAGCAGCAGCGGCAGCAGCAGCAGCAGGGGAAGGTCTTCAAGAGGGAGCAGGGAGAGACCTTACTAAAGGACAAATACACCAGGCCTTGCATGCAGATGCAAGAGAAAAAGGTGGTAATTACAGAACCTTGAGGGAAAGGCTGTCCCTGAGGCCCAAGCTCTAGGCAAGTTAAGGTGATGATGACTCCCTCCTGTGGGACTCAAAGTCCTACCAAACAGCGAAGAATTCCCGAGGCAGGTAGCCTGGAAGCCTCCTTCAGAGTCCTAGCAAGACTGACTGGCTGTCTTGCTAAAGGGTGGACAACTCTTGGACCCTGCCTTTAGTCAAGCTCTCCACTGAGCCCCCGTGCCTGATGGGGCCTGCCACACTTTAGTAACTCTGGCAGTTGGCTCATCAAAATGTATGGCTGGGCCTGGAGAGACAGTTTAGTGTTTAAGAGTGCTCACTGCTCTCGCAGAGGATGAGTTTAGTCCCCAGCAACCATGCTGAGTGGCCACAACCACCTGCAACTCCAGCTCCAAAGGCTCTGACACCCTCTTCTGGCCTCTGTGAGCAACCTGACACATGTGACACACACACACACACACACACACACACACACACAAACACACAGATACACATAAATAAATTTTTTTTTTTTTTTTTTCCAAATGTGCAGCTGAGGGGCTGGAGAGATGGCTCAGCAGTTAAGAGCACTGACTGCTCTTGCAGAGGATCCGGATTCGATTCCCAGCACCTACATGGCGGATATGAACCATCCTTAACTCCAGTTCCAGAGGAATCCGAAGCCCTCTTCTGACCTCCGCGGCACTGCACGACACGGGTGCACTCACATACACGTAGGCAATACATTTGTACACATAAAAATAATAAAATATTTTAAAAATAAAACGTGCAGCTGAATCTGTGCTATGACTCATTACCTCGGCAGCCCCAAAAGGCAAAAACCTTTCGACAACCGAAGCGACAATACACACATGCTCCCTTAAAATGGGGCTTCGTGGTCATTTGAAATTTATAACGGGGGAAGGGGAAAGAAGAACCGTCAAACTTCGCACTGTGAGTTTGCAGAACTAGCATTTCCTCGCCTTCTATTTTTAACACAGGTATATTTGGCTAGAGACAATTAAGAAGACAAAAAATAAAAAATTAAAATAAGCACAACACGACTCAGGCCCAAGCTGGTGTCAGGAGGCACGGAGACAACCAGCCCTGGCCTTGTCTTGGGGATCACGTGGCACTACACCCACAACCAGCTTTCTTCTGTTACAGTGGTGCTCAAATTGGGGCTGACCATGGATGACATATCTCGGCTTCTGGAACCCTGCTCATTTCTCTGACTAAAGCCCAAGGAAAAAGATTTCAGGAAAAACAATATCTGCTAGTAAGTCATGCACTGGTGCGACCCAACAGCAAAGAGTAGCTGCAGTTCATGTTTAAATAAGAACTCTTGGGATCTGAAGTGTGGCCTCAAGTGCAGGAAGGCTGCCCTGGCAAGCACATGGTCCAAGCTGCCAGTGGCCCTGGAGTCTGCAGGGATGCCTGCACTGGGCCTCGGATTGCTTCTGGGGCCAGGCAACAGGCACAGAGCAGAGAAGAGGAGGAGGAACGTAAGACAGCACAGGTTCTGGGGGCTCCAGCAAACACAGGCTGTTGTCCTGCATGGGGGCTTGGACAACTAAAGCAAAAATCCCAAAGGTAAGTAGGAGGCCGGCCAGGTTCACAGTGAGGTGAGGTAAATAATCCCAGGGCCAGGGAAGACCATCAACAGAAGGGGGAAGAAAGTGTGGGGGCCTCGCAATGCTGGGAGAGGTCCACTGGGAACAGAGTACAGGACACAGAAAAAATGGACAAGGGTTAAGAGGTTGAGAAACCAAAAGGGAGGGCCCTCATCCTGCAGTGTGCTGTGCCTCTTCTGTGCCTGAAATGGATTCGGAGGGACAAGGTAAGGCACACAGCCTGCAGGAATCCGAATCCCATCCACCCACAGTTCCCTTCCCCTGGGCCCACAGCTGCCTGGCTGTGCCTCTCCCTTATAAGAAGTCAGCTTCTCATTCCTCTGCTCTCCTAAGCCTGGCTCTGAGACCCAGTGTCAAGGACTTGCTTTCAAGTCAGCTGGAGCTCCCTGTGCACAAACACTGCAGAATCAGGGTCAGGATGGGGGCTTTTGCTTAAAACCAGCAGGCTCTCGTGGCAGGGTGTTGGGAAGCGCTGTTCACATGTCACACCAGGTCCTCATCCACCCCGAGGCACCAAGGGGAAAGTGCCTGCAAGTGCCTCTCGCAGGACACTGGAGAAAGCCTGCTTCCCAGACCTCATACCTGTGAGGGCCAGTGCCTTCCTGTGGACACAGTGGCCAGAGGCCAGGGGAACTGGGGACATGGGAGAAGCCTGAAACACCTATGGGTCCCCATGGAAAGTGAATGCAGCCATCGCACAGCTAAATCACTCAGCTGTAGCCAGGCACCCAGGATGAAGCCTGTGGCCCTAGTGAGAACAGAACCTGGCAAGCGTGCTGCAAAGCTCATGTTCTCCCCTAAGCTGTCTCGGTTCCCAGGCGCTGAGGGAGCTCATACCCTCCTTGCCCAGGGAGGGCTTCGGTGCCACAAGGAACCACAGACTCAACACTTCCTGTGACTCTCAGAGGCTGAACTGTCACGATATTGACCCCGCTGATGCCAAAGAGGAGAAAAGTCCTCCTGCATATGGGGGTCTTGGGCCTGTGCCCAGAACACCTGTCCCACCTTGGCCAGGCCAGGCTCACTTCCTGCATGCCAGGCCTGTGCAGACCCAGGCAACAAAAGCTCCCCAACACCCCCAAGCCCCAATGTCCTCCCCTGTATCCATACTCTAGAGCTGTGGCCTGGCGTCTCTCTCTGTCCACCACTCTTTTGCCAGGCCTTCCACAGGCCTACCACACTATGGGCATTCACTGAACACACGGGTGGTAACATGGGGCTAAAAGCCACATGCAGGAGAAGATACCGTGAGTGAAAGTGGTGCTCTTTAAACAGCTCAAAAATGAAAAGCCGTAGGAATGCACACACACACTATCACCTAAAAACTAAAGATGTCTGTTTGGAAACAGACACCATCAACAATTACAGACCGTGAATACTTGTCTCCTAATTGGCTTTGTCTAAAATCAAGAAGGGACTAAAATTTAGACTCTAAATTCTAACCACCAACATGAGAAAGACAGGGCTCCAAGGGCAGATGGGCAGATGGACATCACAACATACTTCAGGACGAGGAAGTCTTCACACCTACAGATTAACAAACCAGAGACAGTAAGAAATCCAGTGCGGGGCACAGGCACAGGCATTCATACTAGCCCGAATTAGTAGGAAAACAGACCAGGCAGGTTCTTCTGCTGTCACCACTCATGAGCACGCCTACACCTGGGGACATCCAGAATCTCTCATGTCCCAGGCAAGTAGGAGACTACTCCCTGGAAAGTATGCAGGAAATGTGTGGCACAGCAGCACACTGGCAGGTGGACATGGGGCCAGGACAGACACTGCAAGTTAGACTGAAACGGTACTACCTAGAAGCAGTTCTAGTAACCCACAATGCTTGTACCTGGAGCAGGGATGAGCGGCTTTAGAAGCACCTGGCAATAACAGCTGTACCACTGGAAGGGGGAGGGAATGGGCATGAGAGGGGTTGTGCATTGCCCTGCCCACAGTACCTTCCCTGAGAAATGGTTCAGCCAGGCTTCCCCACAGATGCTTCCCTGGTCATATGCACTGTGGCAAGACCACCAAGGGTGAGCACTTGCATCGCCTGCACCCCTGGGCTGTTGGAACCGATTGCTCCAACCTGGCTCCTGCCGGATATTCCAGCTGGGGGCCACGTGTACCCTGGCAAATATGGCACCCATAGCCACCGTTTCTCTCAGAGCCACATTGGCCTTGGCCCTCAGCTGGACTATGACCCTTTTAGCAACAAGTGCCACATATTCTGTCACTATGTGCCGCATCATAATATAGCATGTTTGTGCTTTGCCAGGCAGGGAGCAGACAGTTCTACTCTGCCACCCCATACAACCCTATGAGTGGGTAACACTGCTGTCTCCATTTTATGCATAAGGAAATTAAATCACCCATGACCATGTACCCAGAGAGACAGAGCCCACATGCATGGCCCCCTTGGGCCAATCAATACCAGAGGCCACAAAGGGTTTCAGGCCCCACTCCTGTTTCCACTGTAGCCAAACAAAGCTCATCCCAGGAACCCCAAACCTGTATGCTACTAACATGCCCAGCCAAAGACAACCTTGATTCTACCCTCAGAATGAAGATGCGCGGCCTGGAAAGTTCAAGGACATACCTCCGGAAGGATGAGAGGGAGTCATCTGTACAAAGTCAGTCAACAGAAGAACTCCTGTCAGTGCCCTTCCAGGCAAGTCCATGCTTGGAACGCAAACATTTGACCCAATGCTAGTAAGTTTACCAGGACGCCAAGAAGCCCCAGCACTTCTCTGCTGGCACGGAGGACAGGAGTGACGACAGGCCTTTGGAGGTTGTGCCATTACAGCCCCTACAGACGGCAAGATGGACTAAATGGGCTTTCGGCTTTGTGTTCAAGCCCCGGGGCCCCCTTCCTTCTAGCACGTCCCACAAGGGAGCAGCACAGATCTGGCTCTACCCCAGTATGTGACCCTGTGCAGGTCTCTGTGCATTTCCGTCCCCAGTATGTGACCCTGTGCAGGTCTCTGTGCATTTCCGTCCCTCCGTCTGTAAGATGAGGCCAGAGCTGAGCCCCTAAGTGCCAAATGTGCCAACAACTCACTGTCGGCAGGTTTCTTCCCACCAGCTGTGCTCTCAGAGGTCAATGTGACAAGGTCAAAGTTCTTCCTGGTTATTTCTTCAGAGAGGAAGAAGTTGAGATGGCCTCCAAAATCCCTTCAGGGGTTCTAGAATCTCAAACTGAGCTGGATCTGCCACTGCCACTGCCACTGGCCAGCCCTGACACTCCTCATTCTCAGCTTTTGATGTTCTGGCAAAGCCTTCTCACCACCCACAAATATTTAATAAACATCTGCTATGCGCCACGACCATGTGGGGAACAGTGATGCCATGGTGAATAACCGTCACCACGCTAGCCTCATGGCCAGATGAATGGCACAGTTCTGGAAAGGAAAACTCCATGGTTGCTAACCTGGAGACATATGAGTCCAGAGTGAAAGAACTCAGACAAGGCCACTTCCAGAAGGCTTCAGGCAGAAGTCATGACCCACACAACATGAGCTATGCACAGCACCACCCTGTGATATCTCCCCTGAAGCTTAGGCCACCCTTGTTACCTTGATAGACAGCCACAGCTACACACCACACATTATAGTAGGCTTCAAGGACAGGAACTGTGCGATCATTCTCTATTTTGTATGCCCAGGCACCTCATAATGTCTTCTCATAGCCCAAATCTACCTGGCAAGTTAGATCTGGATTTCCATTCCACATGGAGGAGGGGTCTGAGGAGTTGCTGAGAGCTTCCAAACATGGGCACTGAAACAATTTGGGGTCCTTTAACCCAATAGGAGCCCTTCCCACAAATGGGTCAAAAGAATCAGTACACTGTCAGGCGGCAGCTCCCCCAGCTTCCATATTACTAGAACAACAAGCACAAACCAGCAGGAGGGCTGGTCAACTCCTTGTCCTGCATATTTTACCCCTACGTCTACAATGCTCCAGTCAGACTGAGGCCTACAATCTGCCACAGTCCATACACACCTGCAGGTAAAAGCACAGGGCCTCCCATTCCAGCAGCTTCTACTACCCTTCAAACCCCGCAGTGAATCTTCAACAGCATCCGTCCTCTGGTTTCTCCTCAGTTCATATAAATGTTTTGCCTTTCACAGACAGGGGTGACAAATGACCTTTGGATTCTGAACTCTGGCACATGTGCTTGAAGACACCAAGACATAAGAGGGTATCCCTCTAGAAAACCTTCGAGTCTGTGCCTTGCTTCTCAGGGGCCAGATTGTGCTCTCCTGTCCTCGTTTCTACAGGATTCCACTGTCTTCCTCCTGAACTTTCTTATAGCTTCCAATGTGCCTCCTCCCTGGAGCAGAGAACCTAGGGACACCTTCGTGGAATGCTCCCCTGAACAATTTGCTAACATCACACTTCAGAGGGTTCCCCATTTGCATGGGGTAATGCTCCTTACCTACAGGTCCTTGGAGAACATGAGCTTGTATAGCTTTCCTCTCCGTGCATTTTGTCCCCTCAACTGTAAGGCGGGGTCAGAGCAGAGCACCTCCTTGCCAATGTACCAAGAGCTTCCCGCCAGCCATGCTCTCAGCAGTCACGTGACGAGATCGAAGTTCTTGCTGGCTATGCTGAAGCTCATGCCTGGTAACTGAACCCGGGTCCTCTCTAAGAGCAGTCATTACTTGTAACTGCTGAGTCATCTCTCTAGACTCTGGTTATGCCAGTGGCCTCCTATGGAGCTGTGTCCAAGCACAATGTAGTCACAGCTGGCTGGCGCATGCCTTATACTGAACAGCCCACAGACACAGCTGTCACAGTTTCCATAAGGCACACATACACACATGCATATGTGTATACATACAGACCATCACATGAAGGGGTTATCCAGGTCTGCCTATGTGGAGGGTGATCTGTGAACAAGTGGGATGTAGAGAGGTGACATTTACATTCGCCTGCCGGAGTTTTCATGCTCAGGGCAGTCTCAATGCCTCCAACCACCTGCCACAGCTCACTGGTGCTAGGTCTACCACTTACTGTCACACTGGGTTTCCAGGACTTTGTCCAGGCCTGAACTGTGACAAGTAATCAAATAAATCATGATTATGAGGCAGCGGCACCCCTTAAATATGTGACCTACCAGTAGGTCAGAAGGAAAGGGCTCCTGCATGCACACCATTCCACAGGGCTTCTATTTGGAATGCTGAGGTGTGCAGGACGCTCTCCATGACTTGCTGTTCCTTGTCTTCCTGAAAGGCCAGCATCCCAGCATCACACAAAGACCCTGCACAGCCTCCTTGAGCACTTCTGTGACACTAGTGAGGCCACAGCCTCTTGGGGTCCAGCAAGAGGGGCTCATCTGACCACACACCTGTACCTGGTGGTGGGCAGAAGGGAAGTCCTGAGTCCAGCTTGTCCCCCATGTTCATAACCATGGTTCTACAGCAGTTTCCTGCAGGTTTACTTCAACCCTCCCACCTTGCTGCTGGGTAGCTGGCGGTATGTCCGCCACTGTCCCAGTTATCTTTGCTGTCTTAAACGTTTCCAGGACAAACATGCCCCTCATCACGCAGATTTCAGCTCTGGATTCAATCTCCCCAAGAGAACTGCTGCCGGCCAGTCTGGGCATATGCCAGCTCTCTTCTACTCTACTTCTGAGCCTGCAGAAGCAGCTCTCAACCCTGAGACTTGGTCTCCACATTCCCTGCCATACCCCCCCCCCCGGCCCTGGGACACATAGGTGCTCACGGTACATATTCCGTCCTGTTTTGTTTCGGAGTTCAAGCTCTTGCTGTGTTCTGCAGCCTGGCCTCCAACTCGTGAGTTGAAGCAATTCTCCTGCCTCAGCCTCTCCTGTGGTAGGGGACTATAGACACATACTCCTGCATCTGGCTGAGTAGGTACTTTTAATAGAATCAAGTATTTAGCTGGAAGTGAATCATGACTACCTCCTAAGAAACACAAAAGAAAAGTGTTCATGGAAGTCTGAGCCCTCTGCCATCTTTTAAAACTTGGGCACTTGTTTCCATTGGCCTGTAACAGCACATGGAATTTCTGCTGAAGACCACATTCCCATCTTATCTGGCTGCCTCTCGGCAGTATTAACTAATCCTTTACAGAGACTCTGAGGCTCAGCTGAGTTGGGCAACTTGCCCAAGGCTGCACAGCTAGTGACATTACAGATGGGATCAGAGCAGATAGGCCAGCCAACTGAATCCAGTTTCCATCCTGCCCCAGGAAGCCCAGAACTCCAAGAAGTTCCAGGGGTTTTACCATGGGAGTAACATTTGGTCAGAAGTTGACTTTCTTGGTAGCCTATTTGCCTAACACGCATGAGGTCTTGTGTTCCATTCCTAGCACCACACCACAACCCCACACAGAATAAACAAGGAAAACAGCTTTCCTTTAACTAGCGGACAGGAAAAAAAGGTAGGCTCAGGAAGGGTAACTTCCGAAAACAAAACCATCATAAAATAATCTAATCGGGAAGGGCAGTCCTCCAGGACACAGATTGGCACACAGATGCTCTGTCAGGCATAAGGCAATTTCTTCAGCCCATCTGGCCACTTGCCTGCACTTTGCAGAATGATGTATTTACGGCTCTCCATGTTTAGATACAAACTCAAAAGTAAAGCTGCCTGTCAGGTTGAGTTACTGTGTGTTGCTGTCAGCTGCACAGTGGCTAAACATAAAAAGAAACAAACACTGGAGGGTAAACATTGGCTCTTGAAGGACAGACTTTGCAGTCATGGGAATCCTTCCACTTCTCTGCTGCCAATAGGATGGAGAGCACCTGGTTCCTCTTTAAAACACGTTCCTCTCCTCTTCCCACCTCCTCGAAACTCACAAAGACTCATTGGACTCCAGCAGCCGGAGGCCTGCAACCATCAGAAGGACGGGCATTACCTCCCAGAAGCTGTCACTGGATACTTCCACGCCCACGGAATCGTCATATGTGACAGACATTTCTGCAGAGGGTGAGAGGACGGCAGCAGACACTTGACTTCAGGGATCCACCTCAGATGCTCGGAATCTGCAGACAGACCTATGAAAGAAAAGCACAGATGGCTGTGGTTTTCACAGTCCCAGGGCGAAAAGCAAGTCACCCATCAAACACACGGCACCAGCCTCGGCATTTGGACATTTTCCTCACACATATGCATGGAATTAGCAATGACAAACAAGAGTTACTCAGCACACACTGGATACCCCCAAAGCGCTGATGCAGCAAGCTCTCCAAAGGCAGTGAGGCTTACTGTTACTCCTGGGTAAGCATCTCTGAGGTTGCCAGCCTCCCCTTACTCAGTGAGGTGACTGTTGGTCACCTGCTCCCAGGGAGCTGTGTGCTCTACATGTACGCACTTCCTTGAGTCCTAACCATTACTCGTGCCTCATTCAAGAAGCGCAACAGGCACAGAGAGGGCAAAGGGTTTGTGTAAGCTCAGGAGCTTAGAACGGCGGCAGGCTCATAGCTGAGCTCACATCCTGTAGGACACGTACGGCAGGGTGCTGTGCCTTTGTAAGCTACAGCTGAGTCCCAGCCTCGGGGACGTAGGTTGATCTCAGCCTTTCAGGTAGACTAAGCAGTAAGTGACTGAATTTAAATCAGCATTTCTCTAGAAAAAGCCTGTGTAAGCTGCACGTGTAGCCCTGTGCACTGTCGTCTAACCCTGTATGTTGTTGTGCTTCCCACATACTCTTAATTATGGTCTCTCTTATGGATACGTTCTACTGCAGTCACTGCTTTCTTATGACCTGTCTAGGAAGCCTTTGCTTTGGCTCAGGCAATGAAGATACTCACTCACCTCTATTCTCTTTTAAACATGTGGATGGTGTTTTTTTTACTTTCTACTTTGCAAAGACAACGAATCCAGTCTTACTTCTTTCCATGTCAGACTGTCAGGGCCATGTGCTAAAGGGAGGCTCCTCTCAAGACTTCCCTGTCCTTAGCCTAGCTCTCCCTAGCCACACCTCCTTCAGAAAAGCTCTTGGGAGTCTAGCAGAGGAAGTCCTTCCTCCACTCTCCCAGCAGGGCCCTGAACATTTCCATATACACCTTCCAACCTGTTTCTTCAGTCTAACCAATCAGCCACATCTTCTGGCCAGGCCCTCACAGAACCTCAGTTTCACAGAGCACAGCACCTCCCTGCACTGAGATCAGACCCTTTGCTTGCCAGGCCTTCTGTGGCTTCTCCCAATAGTGACCTGCTTTCATAGACTTCTTTGGTATAACTTCTTAAGGTTATTACTTGGCTCGGTCTTTAATATTTTTAGTATTCTAAGTCGAATCTTTAAATTTTTAACCATTTTAGCTGATAATTGTCAGTAAGTGGAAAATGATTTTTCTACACCACATATCCAGCAAGTTTGAACTACTTATTTCCGATAATTTATCTCTAAGCTTGATCAGATTGTCTCGCTCTACACATTCACATCACCAGTTTCTTTCTCTTTTTCTTGCCCTACAACACTGAAAGACTTCCAATAAAATGGAAAGAGACTTCTTGATCTCAAAGACACAACTTTCAACATTTTACCACTAAGGAGTGCAGCTCAGGCAGAGAACCCCCTGCCCAGGTTCTGAACGCAATCCACAACCCCCACTCCCCGGCCCCCGTACCACAAAAGAGAAATATTTAGCCATGAAAATTTGCTATAGGGTTTTTAGAAATCTTACTTTTCAGTTTAAGACAGTCCCCTTCTACTCAATTCCATTAAGAGCTTTAATCACAAATGAATGTTTACGTAAGATTGGCATTCATTTTCCTTAAACATTTAGCAGAATTTGTCAGTGAAATAAATCATGTGGGTCTAATCTTAATACAGGTTCCAGTATGGGTTTTGTTTTTATTACTGAGGGAATGGTCTTGTTATATAGCCTGGGCTGGATTCGAACGTGTGGTCCCCCTGCCTCAGCTTCCTGTGCACTGGGATTATGGGCACACAGGCGGTGCCTGGCTAGATTGTACTTCTTTAGCAGGTAAAAGTGATTCACGTGCTTTCTGTATCTTTGTGTTGGTTTTGGAAAGCCGCATTGTTCTAGGGAGTTCAGTTCATTTCTTCCAAACTTATTGGACTAAAACTGCCCATATTACCTCCTTGTAGTTTTCCTGAAGAATCCGCAGAACGGCCACTCCTGACCGCAGCCTGCTTCATCTCTCAGTCTCAAATGTATATCAATTTTCATTCTACGTCAAAGAACCATTTCCATCCAACCACTCAGTCTAGTAAACGTGTATGTGTATGTGAATGTATACATGTATATATGTATGTATGTACATGTTTCCTTGATTATTCTATTACCTCCTTCAACTTCAACTTCTCATTCTTTTTCTAACTTCTGGAAATTAAAGTTTAATTCATTAATTTTCAGCCTTTCTTCCTTCCTAATATCTGCACATAATGCTATAAATGTCTCTCTAAGCACAACCTCACTTATTTTTGTAACTGACCTATGAGATACTTATTTCCTTTTTACAGATGACAATTTGAAGGTCAAGCTACTCATTCAAAATCACACAGCTAATAGTGAGATCAAGATTAAAAACCAGGCTCTCTCTGGTTCTAAAGCCCAAGTTCCTACTATAGCGCATTACATATAATTAACTGCATATGAGCATTGTGAATAAAACGCTACGGAAATAGCAGAAGAGCCAGAGTCCCCTCCACAGGGTGCAGAGGCAGCTGGAAAGGGACTCACAGGCAGATGGCTCAAGGGCATAGGCAGCAGGGCCTCCATCTGTAAGGAGGCCAAAATGAGTCAAGAAGAGACCAAGGAAACCCCATTGTCCCTGGAAACCCATGATTGGTGACTTCATGGAAGTTACAGAGTTAGCTCTCGGGCTTTGGGATCACACAGGAGCACACCGCAGCACTCAGAGTCCCTTCACAGGCACGGCTGACTCAGTGTGGCACAATGACTCAGCAGACACCATTCCTGAGCCCTCATTGCCTCTTGAGTCACCAACCACATCCAGGCTCAGAGGTGGTCAGGGGCAGTAGAAGAGCCCAGGAAGCATGTGTCAACTTGTAACTGGGAAGAGGGAGAGACCAGCTGCTCCTGACCACTGCTGGTGAGTCTCGTTCATTCATCCGATAAATAAGACTGTGAGTCTTAAGAACGAGGCTGGTGTCAGGATACAGTCTACAGGTTACACCTCTATTCTCTTAAATGAAATTCAGAAATATAGCTGTGTATGATGTGTGTGTCTAGCTCCAGCTTCTCAGGAAACTAAGGCAAAAGGATTGCTTGGACCCAGAAGTTCAAGGTCAGCCTAGACAACATGGTAAGACCCTGTCTCAAAATATAAGTATATAAATACTAATTACAATATACCTGAACTGGGTTAGACCGCGAAATAAGCAAAGGACTAGATGTTAACTTTGGTAAATGCAAACAGAAGAATATTTTGCCCTTTAATGTTGTAAGTCAAGCAAATTTGGCAAATTCTTCATAACCACTGAAATAAAATAACCACTAAGGCTGTTTATACAAAACAGGAAAAACAGCTATATCCAACGTTAAGTTAAAGTGTCAATCAGCTTAAATATTCTTCTTCTTTGTAACCTATAACTTAGAAAAACAAAAGAGAACTCAGGGGAGTTTGGGAGGGAGAGGAAGGAAAGAAATATTCGCAGCTCCTGTATCCCAAGACAACAAAATCCCTGTTCCTCCTCATGGCCTGCTTCTAGGAATCGCTGCATCCCTTCCTTAAAGTGAGAGGACGCTATGTGCAAACAAGTGTCACTAACAAGTGACGCAGGTGATCTAGAGCTGGAGAGAAAACAGGTCAAAGAAGAGAGGAGCAGGCACCCTCATGTCCACTCTGGCCCTCTATTCTAGTGTGGACCCTAATATGAGAGTCCTCTGTCCTAAGTGGGAGTCAGCTGCCAACAAGGACAGGCACGTCACACCCCAAAAGACTCAGGCCCAACCACACAGGACACCAAAAGACTCAGGCCCAACCACACAGGACACTGAAAGACGCCAAGAAAGGAACTGGCAGAGCAGCCTGACGGCCTTGCAGTGCTGAATCACTAAGCAATGGCGGAATCACCCTCAAAGGAAGCTCTTTTCTCTGGAGGCTGTTGTCTTTATGTCTAATCAGCCGAGTCTGCTTCAGCTGCTGTCCTACCTGCCACTGTCCTACCTGAGAGCACAGGGCTAGAGTTCTCCAGAAGCAGAATAATCCACCACCGCCATGTCGTCACGTTCTGAACACTTCTTGGTACCATCAGGTGGTCTATGTTGACCTTAAAACAGATTTCTTGGAGCAGGAGAGATGGCTCAGAGGTTAAGGGCACTGACTGCTCTTGCAGAGGACCCGGGTTCAATTCTTAGCACCCACATGGTGGCTAACAACTGTTTTTAAACTCCAGACACCCTCTTCTGACCTCCGTGGGCACTGTGGAGTACGGGTGCACTTACACACATGCAGGCAATGCACTTAAACACATAAAATAAAATAGCAAAATATTAAAAACGTAGATTTCTGGCTGGGCATGGTGGTGCATGCCTTAATCCCAGCACTGAGGAGGCAGAGGCAGGTTCTTCGTGAGTTCCACGCCAGCCTGGTCTACATAGCGAGTTCCAGGCCACTTGGGGCTACAGGGAGACCCTGTCTCAAAAAGACAAAAAAGGAAAAAAAGACCAGATTTCTTATTCCTCAAACCCTCTGCACAACGAGCTACTGTTACCACCTTACAGGAAAGCTGCCAAGTATGGGGACTGCGGCCACGGGTCCAGCACCCTGCTGAGGCTTGGCAGTACCCCCAGAAGGGTCTGGTCTTGAAGGCTTGCCCCTGGGCTAGTGGCTCCATCCAGGTGACCAGATCATCGGGGCTCTGACTTCAAAGCATTAATCCCCTAAACTTCTTTTGCTACATAAGACTCAGTACAGCAGCACTACTGGGGGTGGGGCAAGCTTGGAGGAAAGAGGTCATTAAAGACATATCTGGCCCTGGACCCTCCCTGTCTCTCTCTGCTTCTCCGCCCCTATGGAGAAGATCAGTTCTGTTCCACCAGACCCTTCCCTCCACGATGAT